TATGAATTCTATTCTGAGAATACCTTATTTACCATCGCCTTACTAGTTTTTATTTGTTTCAAGTTTTTTATTTGTTTTTGTGAATGTAAATAATCTGGCCATGAACACCGTTAGTCAAAATGTTTTTCTCTATGTGGGATTAGCTAGACTCCCAATGGTGAAGTCATTGACAGGAGGGAATAACCACAGAAAGAAAATAACTACCAATTTCTAAGAGGGTCAGTTCCTTGCCCACCAGCTGGTCCATTCCCTGAAGCTCTGACTAACAGCATTCCTGCAAAGCTGTGCTGACTCCACACAGAACGGCATCTTCTTGCGATGGCTTTGATTTGCATTTATTTAATTACTGAGGCTGAACGTTTCTCAGCAACTCTATTAACCAAATGAGTTTCCGCTTTGACCAACTTGTCTGTGTCCTTCATCCATGTCATCTTCATCTGAGTTTTTCTGATCAATTTCTTGAGCACTATAAACAAGAGTGTCAGTGCTTTTGCCAGATTTCCCAAGGATAGTTTTCCTATTGTCTTTTTATTTTGTAATCAATGTTGCTTGTATTTTGTCATTTATGGGCCCCACCTCTTTTCTCTTGTAATGTCTACCATGACTTCTAACCTTAGAAAACTCTCACCCTTCCAGATAGTTGATAAGCGTCCAATTCTATTCCTTTTCTAGGAAGGATTGAATTTTTTTTTTTAACACAAAAAATGTTTCTGGATTTTAATCCCCTCTTAGTTTGTTTGGTAGATGGTGTAAGGAAGGGACCCAGCCCCCTGCTCAGCCCAAGAGTGTTGGGGAGAGGCCCAGGCTTCTGTCCCTCTAATCACCAGGTGACTGTACCTTCTTCCTCGGGACTCCAACTTTCCCTTGGTGTCCTCACTTTCTGAAGCAAATCTTGGCTTTTGTTGCTTATTTGACTTCGAGGCAGAACCACCCTTAGAGGAGTTGCTTTTAAAGCAGCAGGAATGGGAGGTCCTCTCATTCATCAGACAGCCTCTTCTCTCGTGCAGAGCCAGCCACATCCCTGAGGCACCATGGTGAAAGGGAAAGGTTGCTTTCATATTGGGCACCTGGTCACCAGGGAGGGCTTCTTTTAACTCTGGCAAAGTGGATATTGTCGCCATCAATGAGCCCTTCATTGACCTCAACTACATGGTCTATGTGTTCAAGTATGATTCCACCCATGGTAAATTACATGACACAATCAAGGCTAAGAATGGAAGCTTATCATCAATGGAAATCCCATAACCGTCTTCTGGGACTGAGATCCCACCAAAATCTTGGGTGGGATTAACTACCTTGTGGAGTCCACTGGCATCTTCACCACCAGGGAGAAGACTGGGGCTCACCAAAAGAGGGGGTGCCAAAAGGGTCATCATCTCTGCCCCTTCTGCTGCCCCCATGTTTGTGATGGGTATGAACCACGAGAAGTACAAAAACAGCATGAGCATTGTCTCCTGCACCACCAAGTGCTTAGCCCCTTTGGCCAAGGTCATCCATGACAACTTTGGCATCATACAGGAACTCATGACCACAGTCCATGTCATCACTGCCACCCAGAAGACTGTGGGAGGCCCTTCTGGGAAGATGTGGCATCATGGCCACAGGGCTCTCCAGAACATCATCCCTGCCAAGGCTATGGGCAGGGTCATCCCTGAGCTGAATGGGAAGCTCACTGGCATGACCTTCTGTGTCCCCACTGCCAATGTGTTGGTCGTGGACCTCATCTGCTGTCTGGAGAAAGGTGCCAAATATGATGATATGAAGAAGGTAGTGAAGCAGGCATCGGAGGGCCCCCCTCAAGGGCATCCTGGGCTACACCAAGTACCAGGTCCTCTCCTCTGACTTCAACAGTGACACCCATTCTTCTACCTTTGATGCTGGGGCTGGCATTTCCATCAATGACTATTTTGTCAAACTCATTGCCTGGTATGACAATGAATTTGACTACAGCAACAGAGTAGTGGACCTTATGGCCCACATGGCCTCCAAGGAGTAAGAGCCCCTGGATGACTAGCCCCAGCCAGAGCACAAGAGGAAGAGAGAGGCCCTCAGCTGCTGGGGTGCCCCTGCTTATTCAGTACCCCAACTCACTGAGAATCTCCCCTCAACACAGTTTCCATACCAGAACCCTCTTGAAGAATGGGAGGGGCCTAGGGAGCCCCACCTTGTCATGTAACATCAATAAAGTTCCCTGTACTCAGCCAAAAAAAAAAAAAAGAAGAAGGAGGAGGAGGAGGAGGAGGAGAGGAGGTGAAGTAGTAGTAGTAGTAGTAGTAGTAGTAGTAATAGTAGTAGTGGGGACAGAGAATAGTTCCCAACAGGAAGTAGTGGGCCTCATGTCTGAGGTTGCCACTTAGATTTGGTGAATTGATCATCAGCTGCCTACAGAAATGTGGTCGCCCGGATGTTTGGAAACTCTTCCTACAATTTATAATTAGGCTTTTTTTCACCTTAAAGGATGTCTTGCCATTTCCTTAGCACTGTGAGGCCACACATTGTTTTGTCCACTTCTGTGTTCTTACACCTGGAACAGTGCTGGGTACCAAGTGTGCTCAGAGAACAGTTCCTGAATGAATAAATTAGTGAGCAAATGAGTGCTTCCCCTTCCCACTCCTCTCTCCCTCCTTCCTTCCAGCACCCCTACCACCCCCTGGGACACCAAAGGCACCTGGTTAGCCCTTACCTGCAAACCCTTCATGCCAAGGGGTGCTGGGGTATGAAGTGAGACCTTGTGTGGGAAGGATCCTGCCCCCAGGGGCCCCCAGGACCCCCACTGCCTGGCAGGACTCCTGCTCCAGGTCCCCAAACCCACCATGCTGGCAGGGAGACAGAGGCAGGGCTGTCCTGCCATCCAGCACCCTCTCCCGCATGGCCCCCAACTCCCTCCCCAATGCCCAGCCAGGCAGCTTTGACATCAACCTGGTGCCCCAGACAACCCCCTCCTGGTGCTGCTGTGGTCCAGACTGCCATCCCAGAACTACCTCCGCCCTGCCCATCCTCAGTTCGGGGGATAGGGTGCAGTCAGTGTGGGGACAGGACAGGGGAGGGTTCTCTGGATCCGCATTCCAGCAGTAGCTTCAAGGACCTGATATCCTGGAGGGGAATGGGGAGCACTGAGGCCTGTGGGACCCCACTCCTTTCTCAATTCCTCCCCTTTGTGCCCCATCGGAGTGTGATCCCTGAAGCCTAGCACACGTAGGTGCTTCATAAATGCTGAATGAATGAAATGGAGTGGTCTCACAGAGGACTCTGTCAGCTCATGGGGGGCCTATTGGGAGTATCTGTGGTCAGCTCATAGCAGGGGGCCCCAGGCCACAAGTGCCCAGAAGGGGCAGCACGCCCTGTTACCAGCACCTGTAGTGAGTTAGGGTGAAGGATTTGGCTTGTAGGCTTTGGGGGTTCAGGACCAGGTCATGGAGGAGCCACGGTTCTAGGGCACCTTTTCCTGTGGAGAAGAGCCGGGGAGGCTGGGCTGACAGGTTGGGCAGCATAGCCAGGCTGGCACTCACCTCTGGCATAAAACCCCACTTCATGGAGGCCCGCACCTCATCAGTGCTCTGCGAGCTCCTGCCACAGCTGACACAGGCCCTGAGCCAGTCCAGGCCCGAGGACATGAGGTGGCCCCTGGCAGTGGGGGGGCTGCTGCTGCTGCTGGTGCTGCCGTTTGGTGAGTCTGAAGGTGCAGGGAGTGGCTAGCAGCCTCCTCAGAGTCCTTGCTGGAGACTTGGAGCTCACCTGAGTACCCCACTCCCTGGGCCAGGCTGCAGGACAGGCCTCCCTCATTCCCCAATTGTGGGGTCCACGGGGCTGGTAGGAATGTCCCAGATGTCCCACCTAGGGAACCTGAAGTGGGGAAGGCAGGATGGGGTATGTGGCACAGGCCTGAGAGGACCTGGAGATGACTTGGCAGGGGCCTCCTCCCCTGCCTGTCCTTGGGCAGTCACAGGGCCCTCAGCTCAGGGCTTGCTCCCTGGCATCCTCATCTCAGCCTGTCCTCCCATTCCCCAAATGGAGACATGGGAGCTCTTCATGTGCAGGACTTTACTGGGGCCTGCTGGGCTATAAATCCCAGACTACCACACCTGGGGAGCAGAGGGGCAGCCAAGCTGAGGCTTCTGCTGGAGTTTGGGCACCCTAGAGGCTGGCTGGGAACTAAGCAGAGAAAAGGGATCAAGGGGTACAGGCTGCAGAGGGTCCCCCTCCCACTGACAGAGGAGCAGGAGGTGCCCACAGTGCCCTCTCCCTGTCCCAGGTCGTAGCAGGTGCCAGCCCCTCCCTGCAGGGTGGGCCACTCTATGCCAGGGAAACCTTTCCACATTCCTGAGCCAGCCTGGCCAGCCTGGCCAGCCTGGCAGCTGCCACACTTCCCTGTCCTCAGGTCACCTCCCAGGGCTGAGTCAGGTCACCCCAGACAGCAGTTCAGCCAGGGCTCTGTGCTTCCTCATTCTCTGGGCTAGGAGGGTACCAGGGTGGCACCTCTGTGGGCCTCCCACTCCTGGCCTCCTGGCACAAGGATAAGGTTATTATTAAGGGGGAGTCTATCTCCACAGGAGTGTAGGGCAGCAATTACCCTTCAAGGAGTGAGTAATCAAGGTCATCACCAAAGTGGGCTGCACTTGGCTCACAAAGGTGACAAGAGGCTGGACTACTGGGTGCCATCAGCACCCCCAGCCCAGGGGTGGCCCAGCACCTCCCCAGGCCTCTGGCTGGTGGCTCTTCCACTCACCAGCTATGGGAACATCAGGGGCTCTGGGCCCAGGACAATGGGCCTGATCCCCAAGTGTCTTGTCCAGCCCTCAACAGGATGCCCACCCCAAGGGCCCACCTCTCAACATTACCTCTTCCCAGTCAGCCCCCACCAGCTCACCACCCTCATTCTGTCCCTCCACATGTTTCCTGAACTCATGTCCCCAGATGTGGGGGCACATTGGGGAGACAAGACATGGACTCTAACTCCAAGTTGAGGTGGGCAGAGCTCTATGAGATCTATTTGTTGGGAGGGCAGGACTAGGCATGAGTTTTCCAAGATGGACAATGTATACAAGGAGGGCTTCCTGAAGGAGGTGGCACTTTAGTTAGGCCTTAATTTCTAGATCAAGAGTAGTACTTGTAGATTGGGAGGAGGGAACATTCAGGTGTGGGGTAGGGAGAACAAACACTCAGAGGCCAGAGGCACAGCCTAAGTGGCGGAGCTGCATTAGCAGGGAGAAATCTGTGTAGGAAGGAGGGGTGGCTGTGTGGATTCAGCAGGGAGAACCAGAGGGAGAGGACAGAGGGTGGAAGAATTGGACAGCATTTTACAGGCGGAATCATTGGGCCATAGAAAGAGCAAGGGGTCCGGTGCTAGAAACCTGAATTGTCTTATACTAAGACAGGAAGGACTAGGGGGAAGAATGCCCCAATCGGGCACTTGCATTTTCTTTTCTTTCCTTTCTTTTTTTTTTTTTTAGAGACAGAGTCGCACTTTGTCGCTTTCAGTAGAGTACTGTGGCATCCAGCAACCTCCAGCTCTTGGGCTTAGGCGATTTTCTTACCTCACCCTCCCGAGTAGCGGGGACTACAGGCACCCGCCACAATGCCTGGCTATTTTTTTGTTGCAGTTTGGCCAGAGCAGGGTTCAAACCCACCACCCTGGGTATATGGGACTCACGCCCTACTCATTGAGCCACAGGTGCCACTGGCACTTGCATTTCCTTTTATTTATTTATTTTTTTTTTGAGACAGAGCCTCAAGCTATCCCCCCGGGTAGAGTGCCATGGCCTCACAGCTCACAGCAACCTCCAACTCCTGGGCTCAAGCGAGTCTCCTGCCTCAGCCTCCCAAGTAGCTGGGACTATAGGCGCCGCCACAGT